ACAGAAAAGTGCGAGGGAATCCATGCAGAGAAGTGCCTTCAAGGGAAGGTGCTGAGAACAAAGTTGGGAATAGCTGCGGGTGGCTGGGTGGGGAAAGTGAGTGGATGATGTCCTGGGGTGGGGAGGAGGAGCTGAAGCAGCTGGAAAAGGAGCAGGGGAAGCATGGGCAGAGCCACTGCAGGCACAGCAGGAGGTTGTGAGGCTGATGGGGGGGCACAGTGAAGGTTGCCCAGCCGAGCAGTGCAGTGCCAGGCCAGGCAGGGATACCTGCTTTCGTACCGTACATCCCGCCATTGTGCACCAAGCAGAACTTGCTGGGCCCGGAGCATCCCTGCTTCACATCTGCACCGCTCTCAGCAATGGTGACCTGTCCTCAGGGCAATCTTGCTTGTGCCATGGAAATGACAAGGTCAATGCTGTAAGGGATGCAATGAAAATATCGAACAAAACCCAACAGTGGAACAGGGAGGATTTAAAGCAAGAATTTAGGCATTAGCCTGGTGATATCCAGAGGTGAATTACCACTGTAACCTTCTTGGACTGCCATCTAGGAAGGGACTTTCATCTGTCATCTGTAGCATGCAGCAGATGTTCCTGTCTAAATATAAGTAATGACACCGGGATTTAGATGAGACTTCATCTGAAGTGGAGGGAGCCAACCGCTGCCTCAACAGAAAAGGGAAAAGGCTGTTTTAGTCCCCTCCATGTAAATCCATTACTGAATATCTATGGTGCTAATTATGAGATTAGAATGTCAAAATGAGAGTGCAGAAAATCTGCTCAGGGCAGGTCTGCACAAAAGTGGAGCTGGGGCTAAAAAAGAAAAGAACAAAGAAAAATGAAAAGGTGTGTACAGTTGTGTATTAGGACAACAGGAGCCCCTCCTTATTTTCTCAGAAAAGGAAGCTCAGGAATATGACCTTTAGCAGAAAATGGGGTCCTTGTAGAAATGCTTCTCACAGCCAATATGGCAATGAAGGTTACTCTCCATACATCTGAGATATTCTTTAGCAGAGTTAAATTGGTATTAATGAGGCAGTAAGAAGGACAGCCTGACTGCTTAGCTGTGCTTCAGCCTGTCTCTCAAAGTCACTTGCTGGGTGATTTTAGTAGTTGCTTGGTGCTGCAAATTCCACTGCTGGTGCAAAGGCCTGATGCAGTCACTCAGCTTTATTCCTCTTGAAATTGCCAAACGCAAAGTTAGGCAGAGCAAACTGGCCTTGACCAAAACATGCTGCTCTGCTCTTATTTAACATCATACTAAAGCTGCCAGACTTCTGCAATCATCTGCTCAACAATGAACTTCCAGCAGCTAATTCAGATAAGGAGAAATTATTCCTGGCATTCATTCTCACACTGCACCATGCCTCTGTGTGGTTCTGCACCCCCCGGTAGCTAATCCCTCCCCACTGGAGCCAGGAACAGATGAGTGGCAATTACAGACAGGTGAGGAAAAGGTGCGATTTCGTCCACTGATGAAGAAGGACAAAACCAGATGGCAGGGAAGGGACTTAAAGAGCCATGGAGGCAAAGACAATGGCCAAAAGAACTGTAGCTTTTCTTTGGATGCACATCAGGAGGTTGGGGTGTCTCTGGGAAAAATGGGTACATCATACCCAGGGAAAGAAGGTAGACGGCAAAGGAAGTGAGGGAACAGGGACTGAGCACTGAGCCTGACACCATCAGGAGTGTGATAGAAGGGCACAAGAACAAGCAGAGTGAAATGGCCCATCCACAGCCCAGGTGGCTGCTGTTCCCTTTGAGTCTTTCTGTCCACATAAGGCACATGTGTCAGGGTGAGTATTTAGGAGAGGCAAGGCTTACTTCATCCTTAATTAGGCTTACTGATACTACACAAGTCTTTGGGCTTATCAAGGAGCTGAAATATACTGTACTATTCAGTATATTCAATCCATCAGACTGCCATTTTTATATAGCAGTTTGTACAGGTCAGAGCCCTTCATAAACCACCCAATGTCCTGAAAATTTGTCATTAAATTGAATTAAGGGAGAGCTCCTTCTATAGTTCTGATAAAGTGGCTTAAATCACGCAAAAAAAAAAAAAAAAGAAAAAAATAGAGGCTCTTGGAGAAACAGGACTCATACATGATAAATGAAAAAGGAACAAATCACAGGTCCCAGTATTATCTGTCTCAGAACTCTGAGGGAAATGATGGAGCTTGTAACAAAATCACGCTGTTAAAAAAATTGATTATGAGACTGGAGTGCCATATATCTATGAGTCAACAGCTGAAAACAAAGGGAACACGTTAGAGGATATCTTTAAAATGAAATTACACCTCTGCTCGTGTCATGTTATCTCCATGAGGACTGCCTGGGTTCTACAACCAGTTCCTCCAAAGAATGATTACCTTTCCTTGGAAAGAAAAGGCAAGATGATATTTGTATAATATGCCTTGAGAAATAATTTTGCAGCCCTGCAGTTGTGGCCGTGTTCTTCTCCAGCAGCAATGCTAGATTTAAACAGGAGAGGGCATTCATGACCAAGCATCTGAGTGTGCTGAGGGTTCTCTGTTTCTTGGAGGGAATACATTTGAAAACGGTAGGTTTTTTTTTTTTTAATGATTAATAAAGGCTTATCATCCAAAAATAAATCTTCTCTAGACATCATGTACCAAAAGGAATATAAATAATTACAAATTAAAACCTGTCTAGTAAACGAATGTTTGAGGTGCCCTTAAGCAGCACTTTCCCAAATGCAGACAAAACCCCTGAAAAATCAGGAGGGTTTGAGCAGCATGCTAATCTTTTCCATGGTCTCCTTTCCAAAATTCTTGTGAGCTCTTAAAGAGACTACAATGGGGAGAGCTGGACTGGAAGCTGAACCAAGACTGATGAAACCTCGATGCTGTTCCTGGCTGCCATTTGTGAGCTGGGGCAAGATATTGGGTGGGTCTGTGCCTCAGTTTCTTCCCTTAAAAGTGGGATTAAATGTTAAAAACTTCCATAAGCATGAAAATGACAACAGTGTTGGCAGGACATGGGTAGTAGGTTAAGCTCATATCAAAGCTAGCCAGTCAGTATGAGTAATGATAGTCACAGATATTTTTATATTTTCCCCCTTGTTCAGAAATGACTGAATTTTTTCTGTGCATACAGCTGAGAGTGCTTGGATAAAAAGACACCTTCCCTAGGAATTTCTAAAAGAAATTATATAAGGTGTGTTGCTAGTCCGCAGATGAAAATAGAAGTGTCTTGGTTAGCAGGAAGTGCCCTCTGCAACCTTCTTGTGCAGCTTGGAAAGTTGTATTCCCATTCCCATTTCTGCTTAATCCCCAGTGATATCTGTGTACTATAAATAGGTTTATCTGCTGTCCCAGCACGAAGGGAGCTGGCATGACCTGGTGACAGGCCCTTTGTTATTCACAATACAGAGGGTACAATTTAGAACAGGTTGGGGATGCCCACAGTGCCTTGTGGGAATGCAAATACAGACATGCTATCCACCTCAAGTGCAGGTAAGGATAATTTGCTTTGGTCTGCAAATTTTCCCGTGGATGTAGGCAAAATCACCTGACCACTAAGACAGCTGAGCAGTCCTTTGGTATCAAGCTCCCCAGCTCTCCTTTTTGAAGTTAGGTGTACAGACTGTTCTGCTTCTAAGGCACTTTGTAACCCCTAGATAAACAGAGGGAGGTAGAATGCAAGAGCTCATTTATGAATCTTTCTGCACTTGCACCTTTCTGGAAGCCCTGTACAGTGTGCTGGCAGGACGATGGCTCTATGTCAGGTCTGGCTGCCTGATGAGGAAGTGGCAGCCAGCTGCAGGATCCCCATCTGCGACCTTCAGGGCCCAGCGAGATCCTCAAGGCTGCAGCTCCTTCCTGCTATCTCTGCTAACGAGACAGGAAAAAAACAGTCAGGAAAAGAATAAGGACACTTTTGGTATGCACAAGCCCGGGCAGTTTCAAATGAGCACTGTGTTTTAAGAAAAAAATATGGTTTATTATTTAAATTATTCTGTAAGCAAAGCAACATGGCTTGCCTTTTCCTCACAATGATGGAGGGCATACAGAACAGCTGAATATGCAACTGCTGTTTAATTCAAGACCTAAGCAGTGTCATTAAACATATTTTCTTGCAGAGAAAAATTACTTCAATAGCAAATTGCATTTGTCTCACTGTGAAAACAGAGCTTATTAAGGATGTTGCTTCTTCTGTTTTGTAGGTGTTAGTCTGGCTATTTAATTAAGGGTCTGACAGTATTTTCATTAAAATATTTTCATTTTTCAGGATGTGTAAGCCTTAAAAATTAAAGCTTAATGGGTGAGTCTCCTTTTCACAAGCCAAACAGCACTGTAATGACATAGCTACCTAAAAAATGAAAAACAAAGGAAAAAGAAAGGAAAAAGAAAGGAAAAAGAAAGGAAAAAGAAAGGAAAAAGAGATTATATTTTTAGGTTCTTAGAACCCTCAGGGCAACAGACTGAAGGTGCATAAAGACCTAAGTATATATTCTCATACACATACGAGATTAATGAACATTTTTCCAGATTAGTAACTGCTAAATTAGTATATCTCTGCATTAACATATGAACAGATTGCTGCAAATGTAAGCAATAATTGAGTAGTTGTACCAGATTGCTGCTGCTTAACTGCGACACTTAGCTTCAGCTATCTCCGTTTAGGAGGTAATCACGACTTCAGGGTTTATTAGAGCAAAAATGGTACGCTTTTGTAGCCAGCTTTCCTAGCCGCATTCCCCCGCCACGGGAACAACTGTGGCCCTCCGGATAAATCCTGTGCTCGCAAGGCGATATTTCAGGCTGGAGCTTGGAGTCCAGAGCGGACCAGTGGCGGCTCACGCTGACTTTTAGGGCCCGGCTTTAGCATCAGGCGCCCCGGAGCCGCCGGGGTTCGGCCGTGCCGGGGACCGGAGCCCTCAGGGCCGGCGGGCAGGGCCCGGGCGGGGCCGGCCGCGTCCCCCCGGCAACGGCGCCTTAAGGGCGGGCGGGGCTGTGGCGGCGGCTGCCGCTACCATGGCTCACGGCAGCCCCGTGGTGAGGGGCTGGGCTGGGTCGGGTCGGGTCAGGTCAGGTCAGGTCAGGTCGTGTCGGGTCGGGTCGGGTCGGGTCGGGTCGGGTCGGGCCGGGCCGCTCCTCCTTGCGGGACACAGAGTGATGAGGATGAGGAAGTCGCCACCCGGCCCGGCCAGGAGCCGCCCCGCCCGTTCGCTGGCGCGGGAAGCCCAAGGACAACATCGAAAGCTTTAGTCTATTTATTAATTAATTTATTTTAAAAGAAAATTCTTTTGTTGAAAACGACCGCCTGTGTGCAAAAGTGTTGCAGCAGGGGTTGGCAGTGGGCAGCTGCAGGCTGCGAGGGACGCTGTGGCGGCAGCTGGGCTGTGCCGGGAGGGAGGCGGCGGCCTTTGGCCCGGGGCGGGTTGTGCCCGCTGCTGCCTCTCCCTGCCTGGGGCTCCAGGGGCTCCCTCACAGGACGGAAATCCCAGGGGAGCCTTGGAGGGTTTGCTGGAATTGGCTGTGGATAAACCACTCCTGCCACCCCACTGCGCAGGAATAAAACAGGAGTTTGACAGTTCCCGCTATGGATGGCCTGGTTCTGGTGAAGGAGTGCTGAGTGTAAAGGGATTAAGCTGGAGTACAAAAGTGTCTGTGCTGTAACCATTTTTCTCTAATTTGCAAGCATGTGGTGTTTGAATTTTACAGTTGCTGTGTGCAGTTTTTATATAGCACAATAAATATTTGTACTCACTGTAGCTTGGCAATCCTGGGGAGACGAATAGGCCCATTGAAAGATTTACATTCAGATTCTCTTCTGGATTAGCAGTGAAGGCAGAACATTTGACATATGGGCTGATCAACAGCTTTTAGTGTAGTGGTACAAGAGGAAATCTTTTTTTTCCCCTTCCTCATCTTCCTAGTGTCCTGAAAAAGTGCTAGGAGAATCTTTGGAAATTGATAACCCCTGATAAGAAATTACATTAGTATGGTCGTTTTAAAGTAGTTGAGTTGTTTTCTTTTTTCCAGAAAGTGTAACATGTTACTTTTTAATATCTTGTTTTCTTTGAAAAGAAATTGTTTTTCATCTGCACTTTAGAACATCTTGGGTTAAAAAAAAAAAGATTAATTTGATATTTAAAAAAAAATAAATTATTAATCCAGAATCTTGTAAGGCTTTTTAAAATACCTCTGCTTCATTTTTCACCTTGTGTAGGCCATTTTGGTGGTAATGATAGTCAAGATTAATAAGCTTTAAATTGCTAAAAGCTTATTATCTTACATTTGCATTGGAGTTTAGGAATCTTGAAGCTCATGTGTGTCAGTCCGGGTTTGACTGGAGGATTAGGATTTAATCACTGGCATGGGCATAAGAAGTAATGAGATGTTCTGTTGGAGTCCTGTTATAATGTAAAATGAATGATCTGATAAAAGTAGTGTTCAAATTTCCAAAGCTAGGTACTGCACAGCATCAGACTGTTTCCATAAAGAAGAAAAAGAAAAATCTTCTGTGGGTTCCTTACATTCTGCTTCTGAGGGAACTGGCACAGTTCATTTTTAATAGCTTGTATTATTGGTTGGCCCTTAGGTTAGGAGCAATGATTCTAGTATGTTACAATGGGGTTAGACAAGCTTATTTGAAAATACAGGACAGCAATGGTTTTTGTATGTTTCTAGAATTTTCTTAAGCATTTACCAAATTATTTTTTTATTATTTTATTTTTGCCTAAGCAATAATTTGGGGCTCAAATCCAGTACATTTTAGGGATGTTGGATTTAAAAGAATGAGTGGACTTGCAGACCTTTGCATTTGACTTTCAGTTTATTAAACTGATCTGTTTATGCTCTTCAGTTTATAACATCAGTTTATGAAGTGAGATTAGACTTTGTGCTATCTTTTCAAATAACTTTATCTTCATTTTACCTTGAAAATACTTTTTTTTTTTTCTAACGTAGTCTGAACTATACAAGTCCATTATCGAAGATGTGATTGAAGGTGTGCGGGAACTCTTTGCAGAGGAGGGTGTAGAGGAACAGGTTCTGAAAGACTTGAAGCAGGTTTGTGGGGTTGCCTTGCATTAATAGCAGTTGTGTTTGTGTTTTTCTTTTGAGATGATGGACCTGTGCATTTCTTTGCCCTCCAAAACATGCAAACTTTTGCCCTAACTTAGAGTTACAAATATCCTATGAGTGATGTGGGGGCTGCTGGGAGTGTAAATTGGTTAGTCATTGCTACCCTGTTTGTTGGATTGAATCAGTCAATTTACTTTTGGAAAAGCTGGGACTACCTGGTTATCTTTTTTGATGCAGTTTGTTTTTAAAGCTGATATTTGTTGACCTTAATAATAATCTTCCTGCAGCTTTGGGAAACAAAGGTGACACAGTCTAAAGCAGCAGAAGGCTTCTTCAAGCACAGTCACTGTTCTCCACGGTTCAGTCTGCAGCTGCCACACAGATCTCATAGCATTTTGCAGACTTCAGCAGGTCAGATGTTGTTGGACACAATACATGTAATTAAGAATAACTCAGTGGTTCAGGGATATTTTTGGGAGATTTACAACAATCTTTTGTCTATATATCTTATCCATATATCTAGCTTGATGTGGAACAGTAATTATTTGAAAGCAGAATTTGACCAGTAAATGATGAATTAAACTTTAATAGACTAATAGAATTCTGTCCTACATGCTCTTGATCCGCTGCTCATTTCCAGTAACAAAACATGCTGAGAGTTACAGGCTTCTTGTCTGCAGTCCAATAGGGTAGCCCTTCAGTTGCAGATTTACCTGCAGGGTTAAGCTCCTACTTCCCCTTTTGATGTGTCCTGACGTGTGCAGAGGTTTTATGGCTCATTTGTGCCATGCAGTGGGCACACTTCTGTCAGGTTGGGGTTTAATCTGGTTCTTAATTTGTTAAAATGTAATCCCTTGCTCAAACAGAAGAGAGGAAGCTTTTTAGTTTTTCTTTCAGGTAGTTTTCCTAAAAGCAGCATTCCTGTTGCAGAGGAGTACTTGACTTTCACACAGTCTCTGACATCAGGACCTATTCTTCTCAATAAGGTCCAGCTGGCCACTGTGGTATTGTTGTGGTAGAGTGTAGTACTCAGCTGAGACTTATCCCAAAGTGAGAGGCTGTTAGGACCTTTGCCCATGAAGGACAAACCCCATATGAGATGATTTAATGAAAATCTGTATTGCAGCGTATTTCAAGCGTACTTGGGCAGGCATTCTTTATCTGTGGAGCTGTGAGGTTCTTTTATTTTTCTTTTCTTCCTTTTTTGTGTTTGTTGGATTTTTTTTCTGTTTTTGTTTTTTTATAGTCTTCCTAGTGGAATGAACTGTTTTTGGAGGCAGGTATTTTTATTTGTTTCACATGACTAAAGGGAATACACTTTGCTGTTTACAGGCTAGTGGAGGTTTTATATTTAATGAGCTTTACCTTTTTACTCTTAAGTTTTTAAACAGCAATACTAAGGCCAAGCAGTCTGAGTAAATCTATTTATTTTTTCCTAAAAAGGGGATTTGAGTTGCCCCATGGCTAGAGATTTTCAAAGTAGTTAAGGGCTACCTAAATTGCTTGCTTCTAAAAGCCTTGGAAAGTTTTCCCTTTGCCCTTTTTTTCTCCCATGGAAGTCAGTATTGGGTGCTTTTGAAAATGTTATCCTCCTGTTCCTACTTTTAGCATCGTTGGATTTTCTCTGCTGCGAAAAAAATACTTGCATGTTTTCCTCAAGTTGACAAGGCAATACTCGTGCTCACTAGCGAGATTGAACTGAAGTTAGATTGCTTTAGTTTTACCCATGTTTTCTATAAATTATTGAAAGATAACTGTATCCAAGAAATTAATGTAGGTTTTTTTTATATAGCTTCTTTTGTCATCCAAGCTGGCAGAGGTTTTCAGCATTTCACAGCAGCAAAACTGGTATGTAGCTGTAATTATATTTTACTCCAATTTTGATTATGTTGGACTCCTAAAATTTTTAAATTGGTTGTCAGTTATTAATAGGCTTTAGGAGGGAGACTTGTAACACTGCTGCTTCTGTTGGAGCAGTGAAAAAGGATGGGATGTACCAGTTGGTTCTGCAAGAAGTGAAGCCAGAAGAGTTGGAAAGACAAAGCTGCATGTATTTAGCCCATAGAATATAAGTGTAGTGGAAATGCACAGCTACATATACGTTTTTAAAAGAAAGATAAATTATTACTGGTTGTAAAAATAATGCATGGCTAGGAAATACTAGCACCAGTGAAGCTGGGAGCAGCATTATCTCTGAGGTGTAGAAATCATCCAGAAGGAAAATGAATGTTTTTATAGTTGACAAGCTCAGAACTCTGGGCATAGCAAAATTTCTTTGGGGAGCAGCCACTAATTGCTAGAGCTTGATGAACTTACCGAGTGCCTCCTGAGCCTCAAGCTAAGTAGCTTGTCAAGTTGAAATATAATATTGGGAAGATGTTTGTGTAATATGTGAGTTTCCTGGTTTAAAAGTTTGATTTCCTCAGAAGAGCTAGATTGAAAGAGAGCTGTATATCCAGCTCTGCTTCCCAGGAGGAAAAGATAATATGAAGTAACTTCATGGGTCTAGGGAAGAAATCTGTGCTGTGTGGACTATGCATAAACTTAGGTAAAAATGAGTAGAAAAATACCTTTCTGGATGGTGGGTGCATTGAGGGGATTATGGAAAATGTTGCCTTAACAAAAAGAGAGTGTGGTAGCTGGAAAGCAGGAAACTTGGGGCAAGCCATTACTCTGTCAGTGTAGAACACTCTTCATCTGTCTACATCTCAAAAACATGATGCAGTTTCCAGTGAAAATGACCACAGAGAGTCCCTCACTTGTGTTTCCCATGGATATTCCAGGTGTGGCACTCAGTGCCCTGTTCCTGCCTAAACCCATCTCTTGTGTTGCAGGGCCCCCCACGAGTGGGTGTGACTTTTGCTCTTCCTTCGTGTGTTGCTTATCCTTTACAGATGCCAGCTGGAGTGATGCTGCAGCCAGCACCAGGTAAGGGAGTACATATCAAACCTTGCTGTTCCCTGGGGAAGTTGAAAGACAGTCCCAGGGACAGTAGGTGAAGCAGATATGAAGGAAAAGTGGGTAGGAGCCAGTTACCCTCTTCTTTGTTTTTGTAGTGGCTGTGTGAGGGAAGTAACTGCATTGATTAGTTGGTGTGTCAGTTTTACAACTTGTTACAAGTGTTTTCCTTTGTCAGCCCAGACACAGGTATCTCCTCCTCCCTGTCTCTCTGGGACAATCTTCTATGTTTTCAAAAAGCTAAAGGCACTGTGTTGCTTCAGAGACAAATTGATTTCTTATTCAAATAAAATCCAACTCTCCATTAACCTTTTTGATCCCATTCCTTTGGTGATAACACTGCCTGTATTGCTTGTACAAAAACTGCTTGTACTGCTTATGTGTGATCTGTAGAAGGCTTAGTTCAGTCATTGACTCTTCCCTCAGACAGCTGTTCTTTGATGAAAACTGATGTCTCTAGTTATCTGTTTCAGGTATAATTCCTGATGTCATGAGATCTATAGACTGGTACCAGTGACTCTGTCCGTATAAGCATGTGTGTGGGGAGAAGAAAAATCAAATGAAATTTGGAACTCGGCTCTGGCATCTTAATTCTAAACACTGATAATAATAACAACTTTAAGCATGCAGTATTTGGGGTGGTTTTCTTAAGAAAATATGTATAACTGAGGGATTGTTTGGGGGTTTTTTTATACTGAAATAGGCAGGTTTTTTAGAAAGAATACCTAAAGGCCCTTAAAGGAATGAACTCTCTGTAGCTATGGACTAGTTTACTGTTTTATCTTGTATTCCTTAGTTTCTGAAATGACATGGAAAAAAATCAAAACAGGGTAATTTTTTATTTTAAATGAAGTATGTAGTTAAATTATTGAGCTTACTGTCACAGGGTACTGTGTAGGCCAAACCCAAAAAAAGGTATTAAGCATGATGGATTGGCTGGGAGCCATAATTCAGAAAGCTTCTGAATGCCTGATTTTCAAGGGCTGGAATTGTGCTTGAGGAAAGTTTTGCTTTGCAAATGTCCTTTTTCTCATAGTTTGCCCAAGTGCTTGCTCTTGTTTTTGGTGCTGACAAGTCAGTGGCCTGGATGACCCTGTAGTTGCATCTGCTGAAGCAGTTTTAAACTCTTCTCTCTGTAGGACAACTTTACAAGGTGAATGTGCCTGTGGTGGTCTCACAGGCCTCAGGAGATGGAAGCATTCTCCATTACCCTGTGCAGCAGATGTTTCATCCCCTGGAGCAAGCTTCAGTTCTGCAGGCCAGCCTTGCCAGTGTTGCACACGTCAATGCATCTGCTGCCCATGCAGCTGGTGAAGTACTGCAGCCCCAGGAGACCGCTGTCCAGCAGGCTGTGCTGTTTACACCAAGCTGTGTGGAAAAACAACACCTGGAAAACTCTGCTACCTTGGTCCAGCAGCCTTCTGTGAGTCTGCAGGAATTTGAAATCAATACAGTGTTGAATCAGTGCAGTGAATCCACAGAAAAATTCCAGCATGACAACCTTCACGCAGCTGTGTTTACTCCAGAATGTTCAGAAGGACTTTTTATTGATGAATCCTTGGCAAGCAGCTCAAGCAGTGTCCTACTGGATGTGGAGGGGCAGCCGGACATGGAGCATCCGGAGCTGCTGCAGCAGCAGGTGTCTGATGATATTATTGACCTGATTATTGCAGGGGAAAGTTTGGATGAAAGTGCATTTCTAAAGGATCAGGGCAGCATTGCTTCTTCTGACAAGGTAAGGCCTTTTGTTTCTCAGCTAATGAAAGTACATCTGCTAGAGATGGTTATTTGAACACATTTCTGAGTGAGAGCTAGCACCTCTAAATGAGAAGAACAAAAGTTATTTTGATTTTATGGTTCATTCTTAAGCTTGTTTAGAATAGCAAGCTGACTGCTTGCTTTTACATTAAGAATTTGTCAAAACTATTGCTAAAATACTGTAACTGAAGAGAATATCAATTTAAAAATACTGAAAAATGTAGTGGATAGATAGACTGTATTTGACTTATTGATTACTTCTGAGAATCATAGGGGGCTTTTTGTGACTAAGCAGACATGAAAGACTCCTTGAGAACTTCCATATCATTCTGATGCTGATCCACATAGGGATATGGGTCAGCTGTGGGCAAAGTGCTTTTGCAAGATCAGATGGGATTGATTTTAACTTGTATTGTGTGAAGAGCATTAAAATTGTATTGAGAATGCATTCAGGATAAAAAGTCAAAATTGATAAGTGAAAATCTCCTTGAAGAAAATGTATTTCCTTGGGGAAGAAGTCCTGGACTAACTAGTTAGAGTTTGAACACAGCTAGACCTGTATGGGAAACTTGAATGATTTTAATTAGCAAGCCACTTTCCTGACCTCATCTAATTTTAGTTCCAGAAATTATTTGCAGATGTTTGAAGTTCAGGCTGGCTGGCTGACTTTGAGTTATAGTGCTCATATGTGATTGAGGCAAGTTTATTAAATGCAAATTTGACAACAGTATTGCCAAATGTCTGTAAATAGAAAGCATGTTATGTTGCTCATCTGAACTCTGATGGCAGCATGGTGAAGACTCTCTGTAGTGGGAATGGGAGGTCAAAACAAAGTGTTATGTTCTTGAGCTAGAAAGTGTATGTGGATGGGAATTAAGTGCTACAATAAAGATTTAATGAGAAACTGAAGATGGCTGAAACCTTAAAGACCTTTTATGCTCCTGTGAATGCTCTGTTTAGGAATTCTAGCACTTCTATGAACAGTAACTTGAAGTACTGAAATATTTACTGTCTCTCCCAGCATTTTATATCTTATTTAAATAAAGCATTTTGAATGAGTTGAGGGAGACGGATCAGTTCATCTTGACTTTTATTTCAAAAATGAAAAATGCTATTTTTGGGGGTGGTGGAGTAGCTTCCTTTTTTGTTTTTATGGGAGTTGTTTTTTTTCTTCTCAATAGAAATTGTAAGAGTCCACTTGATTGCCTTTGTTTTAGAGTTGTTTGAGTACAAGGGTGTTTAGGGAAAAGTGTAAGAAATGATCTTCTGTATTGCTGAGGAATATTTGACCTGGGTTCCATTTTAGTTAGATGCAACACAATATTTGGAAATGTACTCAGGTTTTACAAGCAGTAGGACCTGAAACTCTCATATTAGTGCCCCAGGCTTGTTGATTTATTAAACAAAAATCTCGGGCTTTGTGCTCACATGGCTTCCACTGTGGTGTTGATTCACAAGCTGTCCCTGGTCTCTTTCATTCCTGTCCCATGGAACCCACGGAGCAGACGGAATCTGTTTTGCCGCTAGAGAAAGATCTCTGCAGTGACATTGAAGGAATAAGTCAGCTTGATGGTACTGGGGATGTTTCTTCCAAGGAACAAATACCGCATACAAAAGACAAAGAAGAGAATGAATTCATTGGCTTTATTGATTCAGAGGATCTAAGAGCTCTGGATGATGAGGAATACTATGATGAAGAATGTGACAGTTCTTCAAACATGGAGTCCAGCTGCAGTGATGGGGACAATGAAGACCTCCAGATAGATATAGTTGAGGAGGTAATTTACTTTTAAGCCTTTAGAATACATAACCCTATTAGATCTCTCCTGACTGTTGAATTATTTGACCTAGAATAGTTACTGGTTAGTTTAATACAGGGCATGCACAATGAAGTTACAAACCTCTGGAGACAGGAGGTACTGCAGAGAAAGCTCATTATGAGGAGTGTGGACAAATGAAAAAACTGTTGGAAAGTAATTTGTTTATTGGATGAATTAAAATACTTAGGTATCAGAATTAAACTTTTATTGTAAAACCCTGGCCTCAGTGGAATGAAGTTCTGCTTTTTACTTATGATATTATTTAAATAATTAGATTTAAATAAGATTTATTTAAGCAAGATCAGGATATAAATCTAGGTTTCCTTTCCTTCTGAAGAACCAGAGGGGATTAGAGAGTGAACAATGTGATACAAGAACATTGTTCTCTGTTTAATGCCCTGTGTCTCCTAGGTTTTTCTTTTTCTTAAAGATAGGCAATTTTGTATCCCATGGGTTAATTCACAGGACAATCAACTTGCAGCACTTGGACTTCACATAAACACAACTTGATCAGTATTTCAGTTACTGGGGTCTTTGTTATCAGTTTTGATTCTTTGACCTGTGCTTTTGTTTAGGGTGTTTTGGGTTTTGAGAATGCAAACATGTAAAAGGTACTTGTAAATGAGGTTGTTGCAATATGGTCTTCACAGCCTCCAGGTCTTGGCTTTTGCAGTGGTAACTTTATTGTTCTGGGTATGTTTAATTACAAGTATATTCAATGCTATTCTGAAAGAGTATAAAACAGAATTTTCATCTCTAGGACCCCTTAAACTCAGGTGATGATGTCAGTGAACAGGACATTGCAGACTTGTTTGACACCGACAATGTGATAGTTTGCCAGTATGAAAAGGTACAGTAATACACTTTTATCTTTGCTCTTTAATAATCTTAAATAATATCTTCTACAAATCCATGTCTGCTCTCTTGTCAGTGCCTTTTGAAGAAACTCTAATGCTGTAATAGTGTTTAAATGATGTGTTTAGCTGACAATAGTCTGAAGACTTCCTGCTGTTTTCTAAAAAGAGGCTAATCATAATGGCCTATTAAAGGAAAAGGGAACAACAGGTCTGGCAAAATTATGATTTGTAAAGGTGCAAAAGCTTGTTTATTTCCTTAACTTTTAAGTAAGATCAACATCTCTGTGGAAGTATGTAGGCATATTCAGCTGTGAATTAAGGCTTTTAAAATGGATAACAGAAAGAGAGGTGTACTTTTTTACATTTTCTTTTTATTAGTCTTTGTGGTGCTTACTGATTTTCCTACCAGAATTTTGTTGTGTCTGAAAAACAAAGTAGTTAAGTGCCTTTTTGTCCTCCTTCATTTTAATGTTTAAAATCCAACCTTATTTTGAACTCCTGAAGATCAAATTAAGTCATTTTAGCTGTTGTGTGGTTTCAGATGCTTACACGTCAGTAATTTAAAAGATAAAAAAGTGCATATTTTAAAGCAAATATGGAAAATGTGGCTGTAGTTTGTTTAAGAGTGTGCCTTGACTTTTTTTTAATGTTCTTTCAAAAGTGACTAGTGCTAACTTTTTGTGTGTCTAACTAGGTCTGTCTAATGGTTGTCTGTGGGTTAGGAAACATACAGGTGCTAAGAAAATTGTCTTTATAAAACTATGACAGATTGACTGTTCCTGAGACTGGTTATTTTGGAGAGTTATAGGGATATGCATAGAAAATGCCTCTGAAATGAAGCCATTGATGCGTGTATCGTATTGAAAGGTGCACCAAGTTTTGCAGCTTCAGAACTCAGATGTTACAGTTGTTATAGGTAATGCATACTGTTATCTAGAGCAAGTTTTGTCTGAAATAAGCTGAAAAATTGCTTGAAAATGTAAAAGAAACTGCTAGGAAGGTTAGCATTGGGCTTGCCTTATAGGAAATTTAGTATAATCTAATAATGGTATTAGAAATTGAGAGTTACAGAAATTGGGGAAAGATGTCGGTAACTTTCCCCTTTGCAATACGGTTTTAATAAAACATGTAGGCCCAGTAGAAAGTAGATTAAAACAGTTATGTCTTAAATTACCTTGTTACTTTTAAGACAATGTTGGTAAAATTGCTGTCCTGTTTCTTTTCTTTCTGGAATTGAAAATACATCGATGCTCACAATTCAAGGAATTTTCTAGAGATATTTAAAATTCCTTCTTTTAGTATTGAACAAAACTTTCTGCAGTATGGATCTCCTTGCAGGCCTTTAAAAGGAAACAGAATATACAAATTCTTTCTTACTTTTTTTAATTTTTTTTTTTTTTAATAACAGTATTTGCTTTTAGGCCAAGTTTTGATATTTTTTAGCCTATTCCTGACACCTCTTTGCATGCAACATTGCTTTGCCATGTAAAAAGGAAAACATTGCATTTTAGTTAAGCTACACTGGTTTGCAAGGTGTGATGTGTTTTGGGATTTCCCCATTACTGTTGTCTTGTCCTGCTGGTGTTGAGCTGTCATAGGTAACACTTTTCTTGGGGGGGAAGTTGTGGGATAGGAGAGTGGGACATGATGGGGTAAGATTCAGCAGATTTCTTTCTCTCTTGGGAGGGCAGGGAATTCTTTAAAAACAATTGAAGTATAATGCTTGCATTGAATATTTTGGGCCATAAGAATTTTAAAATAAAAACCAGGTGTGTAAAACAGATTGTGCTTAAATCTTCTTTGTGTTTTTTTTCTTTTTTTTAATAAATGGTCTAATGTATATTTGTGGTTGCATTAATTTTGATTATTATTTTTCATCAGATACATCGAACTAAGAACAAATGGAAGTTCTACTTAAAAGATGGAGTGATGTCCATTGAGGGTAAAGACCATGTTTTTGCAAAAGCCACTGGAGATGCAGAGTGGTGAAACCTCATTCCAGTATGTCCTTGAAGGCTGTGGCATTATTTCCTTATAAGCCTTCTGTGAAACAGCTGGACTTTCTATTGCTGTGCCATAAAAAAAATAATCAAACAAAAAACCCCCACAAAAAACCAAAAACAACCAAACAAAAAAAAAACCCTCAAACCAGCAAAACTGTGATAAAAAATATGCAAAATCTTTAATGTTAATTTGTGTTGTTAATCTGTTTAGTTTGCAAATGGAACCACTGTACTGTTAGCTACTCAGCTGTCTTTGCTGTTCTTTTCTGATTATTTAATTTTTTCCAATGAAGAAACATCATTAGAATGAACAGCTTTAAAGTTTGAAATGTTCTATCTGTTTGTAATTCAAGAAAGTAAAGAAATACTTAGGAATTAGTAAAGAAATACTTATTGGTTATAATTAAATAAATTTTAGTTATGTTCGGTTTATTTCGAGTTCTTAAAATCTCATGATTTCAGTGGTATGACTTGAAATATACAATTACACTGTTGTGTTATTCTTTTCAAAGACTTTTGAGTTAAAAAAAAAAAAAGCAATATCTGTGCAAGACTGAAACCTGTGGCTGTTTCAGCTGCACACTTCTCTTAATTTTTGTAGTTGCTTTGTGGTTTTGGACTTCAGTTTAAAGACATGCACTCCAGATGCAAGAAGAGAAGTGTCTGGGAAAGACTGTGGAGCTCTCAATATATGAGAATTATTTTTGTTTATTCTATACTAGCTATGACTACTGAGATGCAATGAGTAGTGTGATTTAACATTAAAATGTGATTTATTTTCACTGTCAATGCAAAATCATTTAAGTTTGCTACTGTACATTTCCACTTCATTCTAGGACTACAGACCAGTAAGCTGTGAATGATACAAATTGTGCATAATAATAATAAAAGTGTCATCTTGTATACATTTCTAGCACAGAGTTGTTTTTGTGTTCCCTCAATATAAATTCTGCTTAGAGAAATGGGTACAAGTCATGCACATGGCAGTAGCTCACCCTACTGTGAGAACTACATTCCTCCCAGCCCTCAACATCAACTTTTTGTTAGTTCTTCTAGATACAAAGGTCCAAAAGAAGCTTTGGGTCCTTGTCTATCAGAGCTGCAGCTTTTCCCTGGCTGGCTCCTGTTCCTTGCAGGGCAAGATGGGAAACTCCATGGTAGAGCTAGAGCCAGGCTTCCTCAGAACAGGATCCCCCTGCTTGAAAGGGCAGTGCTATACTAAGGCATGCCTCCCTGCTGGCTGCTGCTCCCATGTCTGCTGGAATGAGATGCTGTGAGGCATTTTGGTTATCTCTAATCTCTGAGAGGGTGCAAAGGCTGGGAGAAGGGAAAGAAATGTAAAAATGTGAGAGAATGAATGTACAGAAGAAATGAAGGGAAAAACCCCAGCCCTCATTCATAATAGTGCAAATCCTTTTGCTAATGCCAGAAAGCAGGAAGTAGTTTTTTAACAATTATTGAGTTTATTGCATGCTTTTTTTTGATGCATCTGCTACTCTACAGTATCAAAGACAGGACAGTGAACTAGAGAACTTGAACCAAGTGTGACGTTTCTTTTGTCTTTTAAAGATGCTACTGCTGGTATGTGAAGAATTGTGTATTCATAGGCAGTTAAAATATTCCAGTGTATTATTTCTTTTCCCCCATTCAGATGACTTGTAGCTGCATTGATGCTACACTTCAGACCCATAAATTCACAAGAAATGCAGCTCTTACCACATGATAGATGCTTTTAAGTTTCAGCACTCTGTCACAGGCTCTGAGGTGCTTATGCTATGTAAATGTGCACATTAAGAACTGTGGGACCATTTCCAGTGTCAGGAAAGACTGGAAGCAGAGGTAGTGGCACAGGATTCTGTGGATCTGAATATGCACCATCCACTAAGTACCACACAGGCTTTGAATGGTGCTTCTAAATGTGACCTGTTTTTCCTGGTCACTATAAAATAAAGTGGCTAAAGAGCACTTAGTTTTTAGCTAGTTTTAAAGATAACGTTAGTAAAGAATTACGGCTTTGAACAAGACATTTTCAACTAAATACATCTGAAGTCAGGAATTTTTATACTGAAAAAAAAGTTTCTTATTAAAATGTAAACTCTAGCCTGTGAGCAGTAATCAGTGCTTTTGATCTGAATAGTTTATGAATTAATGTTTTTGATTGCTGCTACTTACAGTTTAGCAAACATTGCTGCAGATGTTGACAGGATGAGGTGTGCAATGCCAGTTGTGGCCTTCAGAGATACTTCAGTAAAGAGATACTTCAGGCTGTCTAAAACTTTACACCAGAAAGAAGGTGAAAATAATGAGATAGAATAACAAATGTAACTTGTATGAAAAGCTCTGGCATGAGTCTAAATCTCTTACTGAAATTTTACTTATTTGCTTACTTTTGTGTGTAGACAAATTTTAAGTATATAAATTACATTTGATGTTTTTGTAATTTTATTTTTTTTTCTCTTTTAATGCAATTTTTTAAATGGTGGATTTCACTCCACTTACAGCAGGTACAAAAAGAAAAATGCCCACAGAGACTCTTGCTGCTTGGCTGTTACCTCTGCAGCTGTAGGGCAGATGCTATAAGTTGTTAATCCTAACTCATCTCCCTTGCCTGTAGCTTCCTGACCATGTTATGTGGTGGGGAGGGTGTGTTGACAAGCTCTTGTCCTGTTGAAACATGATGCAAGCAAATCAGTTATTGCTCACTTAAGATATTGTGCTGTCATGTCCCAGATCATGTGCAGGACTCTTCTATGGGATGTCAGAAGAAATGAGTCTCAAAAATAAGTTTTGAGATAGGTGACAGAGAAGTTTTAGGCCCAGTAGCTATTTTTTCACACCAGTACCTTTGGTTTGTATTATAGTTAAATATCCTATCATAGTCCTATTTGATCATTGGCTGAGCTCAGGAGCTGGTGTGTGTCAAGAGGTGCATCATAGGGAATTTGTTGTGATTGCTAAACCACAGAGTTTGAAGTCTCCTGTTCTCAATTCTGCTTCATTCCACTCCTGTGGGAACTGCTCATGAGCACAGCTGTGCTTACATCCAGAGCTTTTGTACTGATGGAAATCATGGCATTATGCTGAAGGTAAGAGTGGGTCAGAGATGTTATTTCTAATTATCACAATTATGAACTAATGATAGAGCAGTCACTAGTACAAAGAATTGCTTTCATTAACATGAAGCAAATTTAGCTTGCGGTGCAGTGTTTTGGCAACAAGAGGAGGGCTTTGGAACTCAGTTGCTGTCACAGACTTGAAAGCAAAGGACTCAGCTGAAAATGAGAATGTGAAAGGTTTAAAGTGATTGCAATAGTACTGTTCTCTTATGTATGAGACTCTGCACTTACTTAAATTAGCAGTGCAGTCACAAATCTGGACCAGGCATTTAGTGTGATCACTTAGTATCAGGCAATGCATAGTGAAAGAGAGATTTTAATGGGAGAACATTGTCACAAAAAGGTAACTACTCTGCTACCCTGCTTCATCACCTGGGGATAGAGTTGGATTGTGTGGGCTGAAGAGGCCCTGGTGCATTCCTGAGTGCCACTGGCACTGGTGATGTCAGAGAGTGGACAGGTGGAAATCATTCCTGAGACTGTTCCAGGAGGGAAAACAAGGCGGCACTTCCTTGCCTATGCAGGAAGCACAGAGAGGGACCTGTGTGCTGAGAGGGAGCCTTTACAATTTACCTGATTTGTGTGTGTGCACAAACGATGCTAAATGATGTTTAGATGCCCTAAATTGAGTCCTGTTTGCAGCAGTGGGGGTTTTGCATCTCTTGTGATTTCCAGATCACACATGGCCGTGTATGGGTTAATAATTCAAGTAAACTGCCCACCAGCTCAGCCTGAGATTGAATGTAAACTGCAAAATTGCCAGTGACAAAAGTTCAATAGATCAACTTTCCTCCCTGGTGACATCTTTACAGCCTATCGCTTGAACGCTCTACTTTAACTGTGTGTAGGTGGCTGTGTAATTGGAAGTTTCTGTTGATGAAATGGAGGCATCTAGTTTAGTGCCTCTTTCTTTAAACCAACAATGCCAGCACAGCTGATAGGAATGAAAAAAGAAGCCATGAAAGGTAGCAAACAGGCTTTAAATACTCCAGGGAAGCTGATCTGGAGAAAAAGAAGCCTGGCTACAATCACTGCAGTAGCTGTTAGCCTCAAGAGCAACTTGACTACTCCTGGACTCTTCTGGTTCCTCACACAGAAAAGTTTTGCCTAATAGCCACCTTCCACACCTATCACCACAAAGGAAGAGAACGAAAAACACCACTTTGAACTTCAGAACAGTTATGTTGCATAAGAATTACTGACTGGCATTTTTATTTATTATGAAATGTTCAAGATACTTTAAAACAATCCCTAGTCACTAAGATAATCACAACTGGCTTTGCAAAGTGCTGCATCTCTTGGCACTCCGGGTTAATTTTCCTTGTGAGATGTCTTGTCCCGTGGTGCAGGATAGGGCTTCTCTAAGGCTGACAAGAGCAGGATTGCTTGAGAGGCTTTGCTGGGGGCTGTGGCTGCGCCGCCATTCTTGCAGTTGGAGTTATAAGCAGAGAAATAGTTCATCCTGTAGAGCTCTGCTCGGTTCTTGCAGCAACCAAGCTTGCTCATCAGCAGAAAGAAATCCCTCCGAAACGCTTTGGTGAAAATCGCATAGAGAAAGGGGTTTGCGCAGGAGTTGACAGGGTAAAATAAAACCAGCAGGATCTTGGAGTTGGTCACTGTGATGAGAGGAACTTTGAAGGCAGCAGATATGGCAAAAAAAGAGATGGGGGCCATGCAGGTGAAATCCGTGAAGATCAGAATTGCCATTCTCTTGGCGACCTTGGTGTCTTTATTGGCAGCTACCAGCTCCGGGTTCTGCACGGCGATGTAAATCTTGATGTAGCAAGCACAAATGACAATGAAGGCAACAACATTCAGCACCAAGATCAGCAGGATGTAGGCTTGGGACAGGCCCGTTTCGATATCCATG